CTTAGCCACACAGTCACTAGGTCAGCAAAAGCTTGAGGTACAGAAGCAACGAAGCAACAGGCTGTTAACGCTCCCTCCAGAACTATGAAATAAACGTAGGCATCTCTTTTTTGTGAAAGGAAAAAAGGTCATGTGAATATCTTTCTTCACAGTATTCACAATATTAATCATAAATAAGGCAGTCTATTTGTGCATACATCCCCTTCCTTGGAATGAAATTTTTTGTCCTTTAGCTCTTTTCTATAGTCAAGTGTTAGGAAAAAAAACTTTAGTGAAAAGAAAAGAACAAGGAGAGAAGCGAAGGGTGGGGGGAGAGAAGAAATTTGTATGGTTCTGTCTTTGGACTTCTAGATGAAGCAAGTTCCCTAATCTGAATGCATTTTAGTAAGCCAGCTACCTGCCCAGCTCAGTCCTGGACAAGAGGGCATACTGTATCTCAATTCGGAGCAAAGATAAATGTTAGCTCAGTAATGGGGTTCATTGGGTGATATTATTTCATAGAGAAACTAGAAATAGAAATTTGAGAGTCATTCAGAAAACCTTAGAAATGAGAAAGAGGGGAAATCTGATTAAAAGACTCGATGAACTGAAAATGGAAGCCTGTATTGTGCCCCTCCTGATATAATATTTAATAAAGGCCAGGGAATCTGGTGCCCTTAAGTTCTCTTGGATTCCAGCTGCCATAATCTCTGATAATTGGCCACACTGACTGGAAGTTTATGGGAATTGGAGTCTAAAATGTCTGGATGCCATCTGGTGCAGTATTGTACCTTCATTTGGTGTAATGGAAAATATCTGTAGTCTTACATTATCAGACTGTGTATTGTCCTTTCTCCTCTAGCAATAGCTATTATTTTTTGTGAAGTGGGCTAGAAGAACCACATAATGAATCCACAACACCTGATAAGTTGAACAAGAGCCTATAAAAACAGAGACAAAAATTCAGCTTTAGATTATTTTTCCGAATACAGATAAGTCCAGACTTACTTGGTTAAAATATTTGACCAAGTCCATATTGCAAAACTGTAGTTCAGCAGCAATAGTTGTAGGATCTCTTCTGATCAGCAACCAGACTTAATTTCTTTCATTAAGCCAATTCATGTTTTTGGGTGTCCACCTAGTCAACCTTGACTAATCTCAAAAGCTAAGCAAGCTCAAACCGAGATAGTGTTGGGAGGGAAGGCCACCAGAAAACTCTAGGGCTGTAGCTTAGACTTAAACAAATCCTAGAAGTGAAGGTCACACAGTTTCCATATTGTTCAGAAGAAAACCATGTGGAAGTAGCCATGAAATCATCAGGAACTGAGCTTAACTCAAAGGAAGTTTTACTTTAAAAGCTATAAAGGAAAAATAATAAGTATCAGTTGGTACTAGCAATTTGCTAAGAATACTTGAGTCCTTTCACGGAATGTAAATTAATGAATTAAGTTCTTTCTTGTCATCCTTCCCTGGTTGTAAGCCCATTGACTCTTGAAGTCAACAAGGTCCTCCTTTGTTCCAAAGCTCATATTTTCTGTTTCTCATTTATTTAAGTCTTATAATGTTTGTTTTTTTCATATATAAAGAAAACATGACAGTCCCTGGATTATCTTCTGGTTTAGCTTTTGCAAATAAGGTAATAAAAGTAGAGAATGGATGCATTGATGTTACGATGGCGTTCCCGTTGATTTGGAAGTCATTTGCAGGTAACCCAAAGTTTTTCCCAATTTTAAGACAAATGGTACCCTGAAACCTGAGCCAGTCCAACTCAAGCTTGAGAAATATTGATCACTAGTTTAAAAAAAAAAAATCTTTAAGCACTCAGTGCCATTTCTAATAAAATACTCCCAGGAATGAGCCTTATTCACCAACCCGATGCTGATATATAATTGCATTGATTAAGACGTTTTTCTGGGATCCTCCTGCTTCTCTCTGAAACTTGTCCGTGTCCATTGTCTCCTTCCCACTAAAGCCCACGGGCAGCTGGAGATGTATTTATGTACTGGTAATCAGCTGTTTTGATTAGGACTGTGTGAAAGCTTTTGTCTTGTTATTGCCTGTCTGAATCGCTTCATCTGCCAACATACTACATGATAGCATTGTGCATTGTGTGCTCCTTTGTTATGCAATAAAAATCCCAGTTCAGAAATAATCTTCAAAGCAGTATAACCCATAGCAAAATCATTGCTGCATAACTGACCTGTACCCTGGGTTTCACCGATTGTCATTTGCTATTCAAAGCCTTGGCAGTTCAGTGCCATTCTGAATTACTGATAGGCATTGCTTCTCAGGTTGGCTTAAATAGCTCAGTTCACTCTCCATTTTTTCTTCCCAGTGAAAAAGGGAAATGTTAGAAGAGGATTTTCTGCCTAATGAAAATAATCACATATTTAAGATCCTTGTGTACTTTAATATCTTAGCCTGCTGACTAAATGCTTCCCGCTTTGTCTTTTGGCCTGAATTTTGTCTTTAGTCTTCACTCCTGGGGTTGTCCTATGGTTTAAAGCCTTTACCACCAGGGAATAGGAATAACTCATTCTGATTAGAAAAAAAATGTATTTATGGTATCCTTAATACACTGAAACAAATATGTATTGAAAATTTAGAAGAAGCAGCTTATAGAAAGCAGTGAACAGATCACAGTCCTCAATTCCCTACCATGCGTGAGAGCTACATTGGCATGTTGCCAAGAGTCTTAAGAGTGTTTTGAACTTGTGAATAGGTATATGTTGTATTTGAATCAGGTATGAGTGGACCCTGTTGTTTTTCACATGCAGAGTATTTGAAAAGTGCATCAACGTGGTAGAGCTTTGCCACAGGGACGGATGGGATATAGAAAATGTAGAAAAATTAAAACCTGTGCCCTACTTTCCAATTCAGCTTTAACTAATGATGTAGAGGAATATTCTGGACCATTATGTTACTTTTTTAAACTTTTTTTTTTAATTGAGACCCATAAAAAAACAAATCTGAATGTGTTTCCATTTGCAGTGTTCCCTAACTTACAGAGCTTTTGAAACAAAAGATAGGGATTTGGGTTGTGGGCCGGGTGGGAGAGATGAAAGAGAGAACACACATGGTGAGAAAGAGAAGAAGCCAAAAGTATGTTGATGAGGGGGTGGGATTACAAGTACATACAGTGGATGGGAAGAAGACAGTATGTGCAGTAGGTGGGAAAGGAAGTGATTGAGCATTATGGGTGGGTGGATGAGAAAATCCAAGTGAGAAGGTGAGCGATGTTGCTTGCTAAAAAAATGTATGTCTTATTGGAAAAAAAAATAGCTTTGCCCTTTGGGAAAGTGATTTCAGTTATGGAAACATTACTGTTAAGGCCATGGTTCTCAGAACCAAGTTTCTGCACTGATGTGCAAAGCTAGTTGCAAACCTGTGCATTATTGATGCATGGATCCAAGACTTGAATCAGGGACCTTGTGATCAGAGACTGTGAAGAAGTCATTGAGTTGTGCAACTCCGACATTGAAGGAAATAGGTTGCTGTAGATCTGCTACTTTGGTTGGAATATACAACACTTCGACCAGAGTGATTTAAAACTAAAGTGACAGTTCTAAGCTTTGCTCAGGCATTATCTATGGGATACAGAAGATATTGAGTAGAAGGAGGCTTGGGGGGGGGCTGATAAGTACTAATCTTTGGCTTAAATAACAGGTGAGCAATTTGTGGCCTGTGGGATACTTGCAACCCATGGGCTTCTAAAACCATAATTTATGAAGATCTTTGGGGCTGAAGATTAGAACCAAAATGGTCCTAAGTAGGAACACTATCTCGCACTAGGAGATTGGTGGAATAGCCCAATAAAAGGATGCTCAGGAAAAAAAACCTAAAAGAGAGAATGATCCCAGAAGCCTTTTGCTCCAATAAGGTCTGGGTTTTGCACACCAATTTGAAATAATCAGTTCATTCTCTGGATTCAAGCATCTGGTTTCACAATATGGCTTCCAAAATGCTTGCTCACAGACTCCTTTGTTAGGAAGCTTTGTACCTGAAATATCTCACTGTTGTTTTCTGCAATTCCAAGTGATTTTTTTTCCCTTTTGTTTCTGCAGGAGTTATATATACAGGTGATATCCTTGACCGAGAGACTACTCAGTCCTACTGGCTAACTGTGTATGCAACAGACCGTGGAGTTGTTCCACTTTATACCACTATTGAGGTTTACATTGAAGTTGAAGACGTAAATGACAATGCTCCCTTGACTTCTGAACCCATTTATTATCCATCTGTTTTGGAAAATTCCCCCAAGGATGTTTCAGTTATTCAGATACAGGCACAAGATCCTGATTCCAGCACTACTGAAAAGTTGACGTACAGGATTACAAGTGGAAACCCCCAAAACTTTTTTGCCATCAACACCAAAACCGGTATGAGATATTTTCTCACTTTGCACATTATCAAGAATAGTGATATGCATGTTCAAAGGTTTTCTTTGCATACATTGTTTTTCTCCAATAGTCTTTTTTCTTCTGCTTCAGAGAATGTTCATGGTTAGTTGTGGTTAGTTTTCAGGAAGCTGGAACACTAAAACAAGGTGAAAGTTGACACAAAAATGGAAAGAAGTAGAAATTTGTGCCAGATTCACATATATTTATGAAGCTTGATTTGCAAGCCATAACATGAATGGAACAACTGTTCCATCTGAATTGCTCCCCATATTTTTTTCAATGTAAAATACATGAATTGGCCTTTTAATAATCTTCAAAGCAGATAAAGTTCCAGTATTATGTCTTTTGTTGTTTGCATATAATGTTAATTGGTTAATAATTGTTTATATGTAAACAGTTCACATTTTCCTGTTGATGCTGTCTTGGGAAGATTTGGCAAATGTTTACATTCTATAACCAGGGATTTCTTCATTTGACAGTCAATCTAGCAATTAGGGTTGTCCCTGATGCAGGTACAAATGTTGGCATTTCTATCATTTGAACTGTAGTTGAATTTGCCATAATGCTGTTTGTTATTAGCGTTGAGGGAAGAATAACACTAATTCAAATATCTCTCTTTAATAGGTATGATTGTAGCACACACAAAATGGTCACATATAGAAATTGCAGCTTAAGAGTGGATGATATTTTGGTGCCTGTTTTGTCAACGTTAAATTAAATCTTCCAATTAATTATGTATAAAAGTGAAAAATTAATCAGGAAGCCAGATGAGAGATACATCTGGTGGGGGGGATCTCTGATGTGACGATACTCACATCGTTGTGGGCTTAAATATCTTACTGTACTTTAGGTCAAATAAACTATAATTCAGAACAAAAATGTTAAGGTCAATAATTTTCTGAAACTAGATACTTTCCAATGTTTAAAATATTTTATCAGCCATAAATGCATATGTATATTTATATAAGACACAGAAAATACTTCATACAAAATATGAAGGAAGGAATTTTAACAAATATCAGTGATATAAATACAATTTTGTAGGGTAGTCCCATCAGACAGACATACACTTCAAAACTCAAACAGGAATATTTGGGGAAACTGAAAAGAGGAAGAGTAAATGCCACTGAGAAAATCTAGCCAAAAGGCATTTAAGAACTAATTATTACAGAGTTTGAAAGCGGAATTAAATATATGTTTTAAATGTGTGTTATTTCCAATTAAGGACTCTGTTTTTCCTTAACAATGGGTTACAAGTTTCCTTCTCATCAAAATATATTTGTTAACATTTAGGTAGCCCCAGCACCATTGGATGGGCTCTAATCTTTATATTTTGGGTATGCGGATTCCGTTTGTACTGAAATTCTGATAATGTGAATTCCATATGTAGCTTTGTCTAATGTAGTGCCTTCCAGCTGTGGAACTGAAAATTTCCAGTATCACTGGAGAGTGCAAGTTTAGAAAAGGTGCCCTTAATTATATTATTGATATATTACAGATCTTAAGCTCGGATGCTTATGCCCCTAGCAGTTACTCTGTTGGCAATGATATTTTTCCACCTTCATGCAGTCTTCATTAATCAATAGCCTTACATCTTGTAATAGTTCTTGTAATGTGACATTTTTTGCAATGGCCAGAATATCATTCATAACAAGCCATTGCCTTTCAATTTTGCAGTTCCTGGAAAAGGGGTTTGTTAGGGAAGGGAAGGGAAGAAAGTAAATAAAACAGATGATGGAGTTACATACATTAAAGCAGATTGATTGCTGCTATAAATTTTCAGTTTTATTTCCCATATATAAGTGTTAATTTCACAGCAACCCATAGCTGTAATTTATTGCTTCGATTTATGACATTTTTGTGTGGTCGGAGGGAAGTGATGAATTTTAATTCAGACCATTATGCTCTTCAAAATAAAAAGGACAAACTGCTAACGGAAGAACTAACAATCACATTCTGGAATCATATTGATACATCAAAGGGTTCTTTGTACATAGAAACCTTTATTCAGTTGGCTCTACTGCCTTCAAATTATCAGGGTTGTGCAGTCATTGAGAAGCTGGATGAGAGCCCATAACGTGAACATGAGGACAGAAATGGTGGAGTTGCTAAAGGCTGTTCACTTAATGCCATTCCCACTTAGTGCCCACCCCCTCTATTTAGAACAGGGGCATCTGCCACAGGAAGTTCAAGGAGGTCAAGATGGTGGCCGTGATTGTACCTGTTGGTACCATCTTGGCTTAATTGACTACCACCCATCTATTCCTCCAGGTGGCCCTGGAGGACTGTTTAACAGGATGTGTTTCTTCTTTTTTTTTTATCAAGACTTTTATTAAGATATATAAAAAGTACAATTAAAATACAAATCAGAAAGTATAGAAAAGAAAGAAGACAGAACTAAAAGAAAAAGACAAAAACTAAAAGAGTGAGATCAAGTAGAAAGATAAAACAGAAAGTGACTTCCGACTATCTCCAATACAGATAGGAGTACATTAAAAAAAAATTAATCTCTTACCATTATTTAATCCTAATTCACATTATTTCTATCAACACAAACCATCTAATCATTAAATCCCACAATCAAAGCTTCATTTTTTCCCAACCCAACACATAACCTAGGAAGGGTTGCCATGAGGAGACAAATTTAGAAACAGTATTATCTCTTATTAAAGCTGTTAGCTTCACCATTTGAGCCAAGTCCATTAGTTTAATAATCCACTCTTCCACTGCAGGTATTTATGAGAAAAGGAGGTGTTTCAAGCATACATAACATCAAAATAAGAATTAATCATGCAACTCACCTGAAAAGCCCAAATCTCTATTTTCTGGGCTCATTTCAGGCATTTTTTTCTGGGGTTAGGGATGGATTTTAAGGTGGGAAGGGAGTTTGCCACCTTCTTCCATTTCCACACTTAAATCTTCCCCAACTGAACAAATTAAGCTAAAGTTGGCCCCCAAATAAGTGATTTAGAGCAGTTTGGTGAGTTTTTAAGGCTGAAATTGGAAAATTTGAGCAATTTCTCCACTAGAGGATTTCCTCTCCCATTCCCTTCTGAAGGGAGGGAGGGGGGTAGGAAGGAAAAAGTCAGCTAGCCAGAAAAGGCTGTACAGTTGAAATTTGGCTTGTTTTATCACAGAATTTGTTGATACAGTCTCAATTTGTTGGGGGTGCAGAAACGAGATGTTGCAACCTACAATTGGTGGGTTGCACAATCTTATGCTAAACTAAACAGAGCAGACTTTAGCAGCACAATAGAAGGTAAATTCTCCTTTGAATCAAGCTCAACGTCAGGTGACTTCAGGGACAGGCCCACCATTGCTTTTTTTAATAAAGTTTTTTCCACTTCCCAAACAGTTTATAGTCCTGCAATTTCCTGAAGATCCTCCATCCACAAACTAACCAGCCTCTCCCCTTTTCCAGGCCCAGACAAGGTTGACCAGGTGCTGCCACCTGCAGAGACAATAGCCTGTTAAGTTGGTATGATCATACAATGATCCTGATTCAAGAAAAAACATGCTTCAGAATGTGCATTAGGTACATGCCACACCTGTAGGCAAGACCTTACAGAAGCTACATCTTTTCCAGAATCTCTGATTTAACAAGGTGCTGCCCGTTGGCTACAAAGCAAATCAACATTCTGAGCCTAATTTTGGGGGGTTTCAGAACTTGGAATTTGCATCTTCTGGTTTGGACCTTCTCCTGCTGGAGACTGTGGTGGACAACCAGTCCCACAATCACAAGAACAATGGTGGCAACAGCACTATGTAGCATATACAACAACTTGTATAAACTTCACTGAGTACTCTGTCCTCCTTTAATATTAGACATGTAAAATTTTGTCACATTAGGTACTCATATGTAAATGCATAGTTACAGCAAGAGAAAAAAAAATCTGTGGTTTTCCAAGGGTCCCTCCCCCCCAGAAAAAATGGTTTTACAAAAATATTACTACTTCTGAAAATGATATATGATTTGAGTAAAAAATGTTTATGAATGCTACCCTAACCTTCACTCCTCAAACTTATATTTTAAAGGAATGAATAGGAAAGCTTATGTAAATCTGTTTACAGTATCAGATCATTACAATTCCGGTATGCAGAGGAGAAGTTAAGTAGTACAACATTCAAATGCAAGGACAAGGGAGTATTTCTCCAACTGGGGATACAGATATTTATTTTTATAGGTGCAGGAAAACTCAGTATTCTTTGCTGATGGTCTGGCTTCTTCCTGTTGACTTTTAATCTTGAAATCTGTTCCTGTCTTCTACTGTGTCTCAAAGCATTGGGAATAGAGCAGACATTTCACTGGCAACAATATCATTTGATCTCTAAGGTGTAACAGATATTCCCCCTGCTTTTTTATTTCTGAAAAAGAGAACTTTTTAATTGCTGCAACATGTTCATGAAGGTTAGATTTCTACACATGTAATACAAGCATCTGTATAAACTGCATATGGAGGATATTGAGTTCCTTGGATGACATGGATGTCAGTAGAGCTACAACTGTACACACAAAAGCTTCCTTGGTGTACTTGTATGTACACTGAACAAAGACGGCAATAATGTACAGGCAAGACTGAACTACAGATACTTAGTGTGCTCCTGTACATCCTTTGGATAACATTCTTCGGAGAATGCCTGAAGATGTCTATAATAGAGGTGTCCAAAAGGGGGCCAAGAGGACCACAAAATAAGTGTTGTGCCCTTGCAATGCACGTACACAATGCAATGCTCATTTCAGCAGTTTGAAAAACCATCAGCTCCTGCAGGTACCTCTGGGCTATAACGTTACAATATCCACTCTCGTTACACCCCAGCAGCACAGTTTTCCATGTCATGTTAAGACCAGCAATTCAAGACATGTAATGGGATGAAGAAAATGGATTCATTCTTTCTATAGCCAGAAGGTTGTCCCAATATTAGCTAGGTGTACAGGAGATGCGTGCTTCGAATCACATAGTGGGTGACAGCCCATCATT